AACATCGACGGCCGCTCGTGTTGCTTTACACATATTAAACTGGCAGAGATAATGGCATAAAACAGAAAAATAAACACTCTTACATTGCCTCCAGAAATGAATTTGTTTGGACGTTTTTAAGGAAATAGTTACTCTAGACATGGGTCAAAATTTGATTACAAGATTTGCCTCCCCCCCCCCCCCCCAACACTTCCCCAGGCAGAAAGTCACTTCACGTCAATGCCTTTTACCTGACAACGACGGTTCTAAGAAATATTTAGGGGATTCCCAAATCTAAAATAAAACATAACATGATTACCGCTGGCCTTAAACTACTTAAAGTAATTTCATGAAATCGTTTATCATGAATATATAAAGCAAACATATATAGAACTACTACATAATAACAAAGGGAAATGTTTTTTTTTTAAATTAACCAACTCAGTATATGTTTTTTTGTTGCTAGGCCAAGAAAAAAAAAAGTTAGTTAAGAGAATGTATTAAGTAGAGAGAGCACACCTGAGTTTATTCGTGTCAGTTGCGCCATCAGGTGTATTTTAAACACGTTGTTTGAGTCGAGGCCTAGTGTAAAAAGTGAGCCGTTGACGTCTGCTAACGCTTCAGTGTACAGACTAGCATATATATGATCATATCATGTAGGCCGTATGCTATATGGCGCACAGTAAAGATGCGATTTAACATTGGAATTGACCAATGACATTGTTTTTTTTTGTGTAACAGTTATCGGGGGAAAAAAGTATAGCGTCAGTTTAGCAAGTTAATCAGCTATATATATATATATATATATATATATATATATATATATATATATATATATATATATATATATATATATATATATGCAAAATACATAGATACATATAGGCGTAAATAAAAACTTAGGGCCTAAGGCTGAAGCAGTTTACAAGCACAACTTTCATGTGCTATTTACAGCACAAACTACATGTAAGTTAACATTTATTTAGTTTTCGAAAACGTGAGAAAAAGTAATTCTTTATGAGTAACTTGGCTTTACCGTCGACTTTTGCTCTCATTTCAACATGATGTTGCAAGACGTTACAGTCTAGATAACGCGTTTATTTTTAGCTCTCTCATTTTCGCGTCATTTGTGATAACGTTGGTCTTTTATCGTGTTAGCCTCTGTCTGTGTGCCATCTATTTTTGGATATATGCCAGTGTGTATTCAATGGGGTTTAATGTTTGCCAACATTCTGACTCACACGTCAGGTTGTCGAGTAATTTCCCTTGATTATGCCGGCTTGATGTTTAATTTACCACACACAGTGACAGTGCATAGCTAATGTCCATCATACCAAGGGTTAAACTCGATTTGAAAAAAAAAATCGTTGTCATAACAATATAACTTAAATTATGTTTTTATTTAATTTTTTTTTAAAGCATGTTAAAAGTTTTGTGATGCGTTGATTGATATTTTAAGCAGTGTTTCTTCCAGACTTTTTTCTCCGGGGGGGGGGGGGGGGCACTTGAAATTTTCGGGGGGGGGGGCGGTAGACTTTCTTCGGGGGGGGGGGGTGGCGGACACTGTTAAAAGTAAATACTTTTGTTGTTGGTACACTTCCTATTGAAGCTTTCAGTAGGCATATATATAAATTTACTTTCTCGTATATATAGAAGTTTTATAGTCTTGCAAAAAATAAAAGTAGAGATTTTGACAAATTTCAACGTTTCACAACTCCCTTAGTCGGAAAAACCTAGTGTTTTGCAATTTTTGTCTGTATGTATGTATGTATATATGTCCGTCTGTATGTCTGTGAACACGATAACTTGAGTACTGTTCCAGTTATGATGACAACATTTTATATATAAGCAGAGGCGTAGCGATGGGGGGGGGGAGTACATATGTCCCCGGGCGCCGACCTTAGGGGGCGCCAAAATGGGTTGTAAAAACAAATTAAAATGTCATTTAGCTGCATTTTTGCATTATAAATAGTTTGAGGGGGTGGGGGGGTGGGGGTGCAAATCGAAAGATTGACGGGGGGGGGGGGGGGCTGCAAATCGAAAGTTTGTCCCCGGGAAGGGTCGCTACGCCTCTGTATAAAAGTATTATATCAAATTGTAGTTATTTATCAACTGTGACTGTGAATTACTTAAAATTTTTAAGTGACTTCCAGTAAATATCAGAAAGATACCCCAGTCTAAAGTAAAAATCAATTGGACACTAGAGGCTGTGTGGTCACTTCTATTGGTGCTAGAACTTAAAACAACTGGCTGGACACATGTTGACCACTTCTATTGGTGCTAGAACTTAAAACAACTGGCTGGACACATGTTGACCACTTCTATTGGTGCTAGAACTTAAAACAACTGGCAGACACTAGTTGACCACCAGAGACTGTGAGGTCACTTCTATTGGTGCTAGAACTTAAAACAACTGGCTGGACACTAGTTGACCACCAGAGGCTGTGTGGTCACTTCTATTGGTGCTAGAACTTAAAACAACTGGCTGGACACATGTTGACCACTTCTATTGGTGCTAGAACTTAAAACAACTGGCAGACACTAGTTGACCACCAGAGGCTGTGTGGTCACTTCTATTGGTGCTAGAACTTAAAACAACTGGCTGGACACATGTTGACCACTTCTATTGGTGCTAGAACTTAAAACAACTGGCAGACACTAGTTGACCACCAGAGACTGTGAGGTCACTTCTATTGGTGCTAGAACTTAAAACAACTGGATGGACACATGTTGACCACTAGAGACTGTGAGGTCACTTCTATTGGTGCTACAACTTCCACTAGTGTTGAAACTGAAGAAGAATATGCAACAAAGAATAATTTTTTAATGGTATCTTTATTGGTTACAGACTGAAATGTTTAAGGCATAAAATAATTGCATAGCCAATTATTGAATTTTTTGGGAACAAACAAGTTCCATGTTAATGCCAGCTACTACAATCATATGTATAATATATATTAGTCAGTAGACTGTACTACAATCATATGTATAATGGAGATTAGTCAGCAGATTGTACTACAACCATAAGTATAATAGAGATTAGTCAGTAAAGAGTATGAATAAATTTATAGTAGTAAAATTATCAAGAGGATCTATTTTTTGTGTAACGTATGACAAAGAAGTGGGAAATATGTCAATAAAATCTAATTTTTTCCTTGACCACCAACTTGTTGTAATCCAGATTTTAGATACTTCTCTGGTGAAAACCTTGACCAAAATGGACAGTTAAGTTGGACCTTTTCTGTTGGACTTAAAATTTTTTTTATATGTTAGAAATAATTGCTGGTGTATAAAACTTGATTAGCTATTAATATTTAACATTGGGATATAAGAGACTGATATAAGGGATGTGACATTGAACTTGGGCCTGACAACTTAAGTACCACAGCTAGATAATAAAAAACTATTGGGTCATTAGGGGTCATCCATAAATGATGTCACACTTTTAAAGATGATTTCTACCTCCTACCTCCCCTCCATCACAAAATGCCAGACCCTGCCCCCCTACAACCCATTTCATAATTGCAATTTAATTGTTTTTAAACATATTTCTTTCTAAATATTAACTGAGTTCAGTTCATATAGAATATATTAAATCAATTTCTATTACAATTTATAAAAAGTTTTCAAAAACATAAATAATGACTAAAATTAGTTTCTAACATTAATATTAAAAAAAAATATGCTAAATTACAGAGTCACAAAATTAAGACAGCCCTAGCGTGACATCATTTATAGACGACCCCTTAGAGAAAATATAAGGCCTGACTGTTATTTGCATTGTGAAACATCAACAATCCATCAGCTATTAATATTAAAAATTTAAGCTACAATATACAAAACAAAATTCAAATAAACATACACTACTGACTGACTGCTACATTAATGCCCCATTTATTATAAGGCACTTTACTTTTTTTCAACATTACAAAAATATATACTTAAGAAAAGCAGTTGATTAATATAATTAAGGCATTGAATATAAATAATATCTGTTCTAAGTTACAATATTATAATTATGAATAGCACCTAAAACTTCAACATTTGTGGAGGAGAAAAATAATATTTCCAACAAAGTGAAGTAAAAAAAGTTTACATTGTACAAAGTTATATATACACAGGCTACAACTAACATCAAGTTCTGTTTACTGGTCAGGAGTCCTTGCACACAGTTCAGTTGAATGATTATCAATTTTCATAGCAAATACAGATTTGCATTCAATACAAGTTTATTTGATTTTATGTACTGAAAATACCCCAAAGATTTTTTTTAATAATAATATAATGAAATTGTTTCCAAATATACTGAAAATTTTTATGTAGAGGAAAGAATAAGCCCCTGTTAAATATGATTACATAATACATCTAGTTAAGTTATACTGACCGTCCAAGATATAAAAAACAATGGCCGTTAGCTATTACACAGAAAAAAAATATCAATGAAACCATTTAATTATTGCAAGGAATGGCACAATGGTAACTGATTGATATAGGAAAATATAAAGTTTGATGGTGGCTTTGTTAAAAAATCTTTTCCCTTAACTTTCTTCTTTCATTCCATACAAATACAGAGTATTATATTGTATACTAAGTTGCTATAAAACATCATGGACAGGTGTAATACATGGAAAATCAATACAAGTAGCCAGCAGTGGCACAGGCCAAGGGTGGGGGTGCAGGCCGCACTGGGTGACACCAAGGTAAAAATTGCAACACTACGCTTTTTCCAGTTGCATTATTAGAGTCAAATACATCACTGACATAATACATAAAAATTTTTTTGTTTTTTTCAAGGAAAATTATATAATTTTATCTTGGAAACTTGTGATTACAAATTGAATTATTTCCTCTGTTGAAAAATTATAAGACTATGTTTTAATTACTTGCAATTTTATACATTTCAGTGAGAGTATTAAAATGTAAGTTAAAAATATTATTAAATAAAAGTATTTCTTTAAAGTTCAATGGTCTCTAATTTATATATGTGCAAAGCTTTGTATAGGTCTACTAATGTACTGAAATTAAAACAGAAGACCATACAAGAAATATTTATCTGGCACTTTCTTTGCTTCAAAAAACAAGACAAAACACAAACATTCCTATGTGGTCCAAACCTTACCCAACACATGCAGCAAAGCACAGTCTAACAAGTACACAAGATTCAAATTATTTCATGACAATCCCATTACAGAGTCAGAGTATGGCTTTTTAAAACCAACTGTCTTATACTAAGAACTGACTATGGGTTTCATGATAAAAATTATTTCATGTTAAACTTTTTCCAGTTCTGTGGTGGTGGATAGTTTTAAAAATCAACTGGTTTAAAAATGCTGAACTGATAATGGGTGTCATGAAATAAGCTTAATATCACAAAAGTATGTAAAATGCATAAAAATAAAAACCTGGACAAAAACAGCTTACACGACAACACCAGACATTCTCCCATAACAAATTGTTATCATTGCTTGTCCACCACATGGATTGCTAAGTGGAGCACATAGGGCTCTAAGTGGATGACTTTATCTCCTAGCTTCTCTTCACTCTCTACAGGTCTACATTCTATCTCTAGATGGAAAATCTTTGGCTCAGTGATGTGCTTGGTGAAATAAAGGGAGCTGACTCCTTTTTTCTTGTGCATAGAAAAGTAGCCTTCCTTGTTCCCTGATTTGATTCTGTAGCGAACGTTATGACGTAGTACTGAAAGAGCTGGGATGACTTTGACAAGTTTTGTACGGGGTTTGGTCTGGTTTGTGAGTATATACATGATAACAGTGTCTGAGGTGTTGGTGCCAATCAAGTTGTTTGATAAGGTGGAGTTGATCACATCATTCTGCTCAAGCTGGAGACAAACAGGTGATAGAAAACATTTGAGCATAGAAAAACAATCGTTTATACAGAATGACTAAAAGAGAAACAACAGCATGGAAGCTATTAAAGAGAAAAGATTGTTGTAAATATGGTCCTTAAAATATCACCTTCGTTTTACTTAGGATATAATTTAAATATTTTTCAAATAAGAATAGTCATGTGTTTTAGTTAATTCAAATGATAACTGTATTAGGTTAATAAGATCTTAATGTAGAGGGAGGGGGGGGGGGAAGAATATTTTTAAAAATTGAAGACACCAAGGGAAATCAAGCTAAGTTTGGTGCTTGATGCCTTAAATGTTAATAAAAAACCTTTATAATTTATCAGATCAATTGTTTTAATGGTACTTATACTAATTAGCAAATACTGCTGTTTAATACTTTTCATCAATAAAAAAAGCAAGAAAATTATTTTTTTTTGAAGACACAAGTCAAATGTTTTGTTTACCTTTTTGTGTTTAAGTTTATGTGGAACACTTTTCTTTTTCTTGATCCCTTCACCTGCTGCAATATCTTTCACAATGCCATTTGAATCAGAGTAGTATTCAATTAATTCATCTAGACTCTTGGCCTCTCTTGTTAGTCTGGAACAGGGAAATAATTTTACAACAAACATAGAAAGTGTTGATTAAATGTTTGTGTAAAACTAAATTAATATCAAACCAATGCCAGAGGAACTAAGTGCAACAATTTAGAATTAGAAACTTTTATTTTACCTGGACGTGCTTCTTCTGGTTCTGCGAGACAATGGGATCTCCCCGAAGTCATGGTCACACTGGTAGCATCCCTCACCTGGTGGCAGTTTACCCCCAGTACTAGGTGTATTCTCATGGGGCAGTTGGACACCAGGTGGGTATTTGGTGCTTGCTGAGGAAGCTGTGCTGATACAGTGGCTGTTAAAACACAGGTAGGTTAGTGGCTTGTAGAAACATTTGACAATGTATAGGAGGAAGGTAAAATATTTTTCTATATATGAGAATAAAAATATTATTCTTATTTATTTTCAATGTACCACATTTACAATATGGTATAAAATAAGTTTGTCATACCCTTGACCCATTGGTTCATATCCAGGTGGACAACCACATACATAGTTCCCTCCTTGGGAAGGTGTACAGCCAAATAGGCAGGGGTGGCCTCCACATGCATTACCATCTAAGAGAGAAAACATTCTTTCTCAACCAGAAGATATCAGTACATTAATATTATCTGTGTTTTTTTTTTTTTAAATATTTACATTAAAAATATCTAAGTACATTATCAGATAAACTTGATTTAAAATTAATAATATACTTACCAACACAATTAAGAGAATTCATGTCAAAGTCCCTCCCTGATGAACACTGACAGTCAAAGCTGCCAGGTAGGTTCACACAAAGAGCCAGGTACCCACAAACATAATCAGTGTTACATTCATTCTCATCTAAAAAAAAAAAAAATTTTAAAACTTTTTAAAAGTTTTTGTTTAATTCATGTGTTGATTAAAATAGTATTTTTTAGTAAAATAAAAAAATTTAACAATAAGTCATAATATAAAATTATTTAATTACACACCAAAGAAACAATAACAATAGAGTTTTAAACTGTAGAGCAAGCAATTATTAATTCCTTTAACAATGAAAAACACAGAAATAAAAGTTCTCACCAACACATTGTCCACCAGGTCGCTGAGTGTATCCAGGAGGACATTCACATCTAAAGCTGCCAGGGACATTGTCACATTCTCCATCACATTTACCGTCCGTGCACTCATCAATATCTGGACAAATTATAGACATTCAATTATTGCAATAAATTTTAAGGACATTGTCACGTCTTCACATTTACTATCTGAGAACAATTCTGGACAATGTATTGATATACATTGTTAAACTTATTACTATTGTACATAAAACATATCCTATATATATAAAATTGTAAAAACTAAATCAACTGTTAATGAAACAATTAAAATTTAAAGAAAATAATAGAATTTTATTTTACCAATGCATCTCTTGCCACTTTCATCTCTCCTGTAACCTTTGGGACAAATACACTGATAACTTCCCCTTGTATTCTGACACTGGCCAATAGGTCCACATGTATGTGTGTTCTCAGCACATTCATCAATATCTAAATTAGAAAGTATGTGAAGAGTTTGTATTAATAGTGTAGTAAGGTCAACCGTCATGATAAAATGGAAGTGTGTTAAGTAAACCAATCAGATGATATATTTATACTGTACAGAAGCTGGCCTGTACCTTCACATCCATTATTTCTTGTCTTGCGATAGCCTGGTTCACATTCACAGGTATAGCTGCCAGGTGTGTTGACACAAGTACCAGAACAGTCATGTCTCATTGTTGTACACTCGTCCAGATCTGTCTCAATAGAAACAACAACTATTGTGTTAGCAGACCAAACATAACTAAATATATAATTGTATCCTGCTAGATGGTTTACCTGATATCTAGTTATCTTGTAGTAAAAAAGTTGATTACCATTAAATAATATTTTAAAAAGTATAACCATTAATTAAAATAAAGACATAAAAATAAAAAAGTTTTGAACTTGTATCATAGATTTAGATGAAGTGAATACAGTTCATAATATAAAACAGAGATAAAAGTCAACAAACCTCTGCAAGTCAGACCATCCATGTTGAGAACATAGCCTGGAGGACAACCACACACAAAACTTCCCTCAGTGTTGGAGCAGGTGAACTCACAGGGTTTGGGATCTTGTCTGCACTCATTTATATCTAGTGAAACATTCAGATTTTTTAAAGATACTATAGATTACAATATAGAGCATAATAATACAGGTACCATCTTGGTGTATAGGTCTATACTGTTTGACTTTTGAACTCACAATATCTGAACATTTATACAAATCTGTAAAAAATTTGTAAAACACTAAATATATTTCCCATCTTGGAAACAATCAAATGTAATGTTTATTAACATTATTGGCTTTTTACATAATTAGAAGAAAGTAAAATTTTTAAAAAAGTATAATTAAACGAAAATATTTTTATTATGAATAGATTAAAACATTTCTGAGAGAAAATAATGTGTTGTAAACAGTCCATGATTGGTGTTAGCAGCATGGTGGCATGGAGCAGACTTACCTATGCACTTCTTGCCAGAGACATCAGTCTTGTATCCCTTGTCACACACACACCTGTAGGAGCCCATTGTGTTCAGACACCTGCCATTTTTGCAGGCGCCTGGCATGCTTGAGCATTCATCAATGTCTTAGAAAGGAAATAAAAAAGGCATAATTTGATTTATAAAAATTAAACTAGTACTTAAATCTAAACCAACTTCTAAAAACATTCCTCATGAAGTAACAAGCTATGTACAAACCTTTTCCATCTTTATCTAATCCAGGGCCATGGGGACACAATTTGTTAAAAGCCACTGAAAATTTAAATAAATTTATGTTAAACTGATCTCAAATTAGTACAACGCACACAAAAATAGTAGAACACTTAAAGAATAACATAAAGATATAGGTTAGATTGCTAGCGTATGGCACTCATGAACTAAACTTACCAGAATTACGAGCTGGGCATCGTTCACATGAGCGTCCCCAGGCTACAGCAAGAGAACAGCAGCATGCAGTTTTTGTAAGTCTGGCTAGATCTGGTGTACGCAAACATCTTCCACCCTGTAATTCCAGGTAGCAGAAGTCTTCTCTTCTATCTAAAAAAGTAAACAGATTTTTTGGAAAGGGCAAACAATACAACAATATTCTCTTCATACATATCATAAGCAAAGACAGGTAAGCTTACCATAACAAGCTTTGCCATCATCAGTTCTTTCAAAGCCTGTGTTACAGTCACATCTATATCCACCTTGTGTGTTGTAGCACCTGCCATTCTCACACACTCCAGGTTGTCGACATTCATCAACATCTGTTGAAAAATAAAATACTAGTTCTAGATGCTTTACAGTAAAATGTACAAACTAAATGGGTCTATATTTTTCTGAGCAGCACACTGAACTACATAGTACATTACTGTTTGAGAATAAGCTACAGCATAAAATTCTGACCTCTACATTCATCTTGTCCAATCTGTGTGAAACCTTCAGGGCAGACACATAAAAAGGATCCAACAGTATTTTTACAGGCATATTTGCACTTGTTGACAGGAGTCGTGCATTCATCAACATCTGTGAATAAAAATAATTGTTGAGAATTAACCACTTTGAAAACCAATGTTCCAATAAAATAAGCTCTATAACTGAGTCAAGGAGAGCTCAACTCATGTCTTGTTTCACCTGACATCTTGGCAACAGATCTTAACCCAGTAAGACACAACAAGAACTCAGAACTTATACATTAAAGAGCAACATATATCATAATGAACAGTTAAAGATGTACACTTTTAAAATTGTAATTAAAGTATTGACTAAAATCATAAATGACTTGTAATTTTAATTATATATTAGAATTTTTTTAGTTAACATTTTTTACTATCAGTGAATAAGTGATTACCTTCGCAGTGGATCTCATCAGCAGCCACTTTGTATCCCATAGGACACACACATCTAAAAGAACCTGGTATGTTGGCACAGCGGAAGGCACACTGATTTAGCACAGTGTTGCATTCATTGATATCTGATCAGAAATAAGGTCAAATATAAATTACCTTTGTAAGAACATCTTTTAAATTTAGACAGCTAGCACAAATATATCTATGGATAATAATAATAGTTCATTAAATGAAATGAATGTAAAAAAACAACCCAGAAAAAATAATTTATGTAATTCCTTCAAATAGTTGAAGTGAAATTTAAGACGCCTAATAAAGCAGTTTGACATACCAACACATTTTTCATGTGGTCCTGCTTCAAAGCCTACATTACAAGTACACTCAAAGCTGCCCACTGTGTTTGTACATGTTCCATTGCCACAAACATCTTTCTCTTGGCACTCGTCTTTGTCTGGAATATTAAAACATATGTATTTAGCTATATAATAAAGTTAAAATATTAAAACACCAATTCTTTATTTGAATAAATAACATTTTAGTGCAGTAACTTCTAACCGACAGAGCAAGTTAAAATAATCAGAGGTTTGGTAAAAAAAAAAAACAGCATTTAAAAAAAAACCAATTACAGAATTTTTTTCAATTAATCATAAATTTTATAATGAACAAAATGTAAAACAAGTCACTGACCAACACAATTTACTCCAGTGGCATCTAAAACAAATCCTGGCCTACATTCGCAGCGGAAAGATCCATCAGTGTTGATACAGATACCATTCTTGCAGATACCAGGTTTTGCAGTGCATTCATTGATATCTTAAAATAACAAGGAAAATGGTACATAGTCACAATTTGTACTTTGTGTTTAAAACTAAGCTTTTACTATTTAAATTTAATGAAGTTTGTAAGCAATGAGTTTGTAGTCCTGCTGTTTTGAGGATTTGGGAGAAATGGCTTCTGTACCCAAAATGGTAGTGTAAAGAAAAATAATGTATATTTTAAACTATGGTATGCCTTAAACGTTTCAGTGTAAAATCTGAGTATTTTGTGGCAAGTTTTTTTTTTCTGGACCTCTAAGCATGATTAACTTACCTCCTTTTTCAGTATATCCAATACCATCAGGGCAAATTCTTTCAAACTCAACTATCAAAATAAATAAAAAAGAATAAGTTGTGAGAAGCAATTCACATGTGCATTAGTTTACAATATTTCATTTGATACAGTATGGGATTAACAAGTGATTTAAACAGGTTATGTATTTTTACTTGAATTTGAATGTAAAAAGAAAATTACCTTCTCCTGGTAATGGACACTGTGTACACTGACCAGAGACTCCCCAAGCAACCCCTTCAGAACAACAACATTCTGGTTTACTTAAAGTTCCAGGTCGTGGTAGAACACATCTCTCAAACTCAAATCCATCATAGCAGTTCCCTGACCTTGTATCTAGGTAAAATCAGACACACTCTTTATTGTTTAATATCACACTTTCTAGAAACATAACATAAAAGTAATATGGAATATTCATAGCCCCAAAAAAAAAAGCCAACAACACCTACATAATTTCAGTACAAATGTTAACACAAATTTTACATGTATCAAAGTAGCAATGTACTATACTAGACCAACAGCTTGCATGTCAGTTCTACTAGGACATTTATGTGCATGTTTTAATTTTAGACATTATTTTATCACTGAATATAAATTGTTTAAGTACTATAGGGTATATAAATAATGTGGTTTTTTCTTACCTACACAACCCATTCCATCTCGGGTTACTTTAAAGCCAGGTGGACAAATACATCTGAAGCCTCCTTCTGTATTCTCACATCTACCGCCAAAGCAAGCATCAGTCATTGTCTGACACTCATTGATATCTATGGAAATTAAAAATCAAACTTTCAATTAAAAATAAAGTGACTTTATTGATTTTAATTAAAGACATTATAAGTTATGTTATGTGATCTAAGATTTTATAAACTGAAACATACCTATGCAAGTTTTTTTATCAGGTGCAAGTTCAAAACCTTTTGGACATGAGCAAATGAAAGCTCCGTCCATATTCTGACAGGTGCCTTTCATACACATGGAATCCATTTCTGAGCATTCATCAACATCTGAAATGAATAATAGCAATGCATGTGTATCTTACTTTTATGTTTTGATTTAGTCTGGGTATAGTAACAAAATAAATAACTACCCCCCCCCCCCCCACATGTCAATATGTAAAAATATCATGTGCCCTTCTTATTTTCCGTAAGGGTGTCTTCTAGTTATCAGATTTTTTTCACACTTTCCATCTATATGCTGATGTCACAGAAACAGGTGAACTATACGTCATCAGCTCTACCAACCATCTTTAAAATGGCAACTATTTTTTCCACAAGTTTCAACTTATCTTGACACAAGTTGCTAATGGTTTGATGACCCGAACAAAACTACTTGGAAAAAGCATGTTCTCCTACAGACAATAAATAACTTAAAATAATAAATACTTGGTTATAAATCTATCAATAACAATATCTTTATAAAGAATGTGTTTAAAAATATCTCCAGTCCTTACCTCTACAGTGTTGTTTATCTGAGGAAAGTGTGTAACCAACTGGACACTGGCAAGTGAAGCTTCCCTGTGTATTTATACATCTACCATTTGTGCAGATTCCAATCATGGCAACACACTCATCAATATCTGAAACCATACAGGGAGGCTATACATGTATAAAAATAGACATTTGCTAAGAAAGCAAGCTCATTATCTTTTCCCTTTGTGCCCAAGACACACAGGGCCGCCACAAAAAGCTCCCTCCACTTTTGTCCATGTCTCCCTTGGCCTTCCCTATTTTTTTTTTCCTTGAGGCAACCAGGAATGGTGCTAAACTGGACGCCCATTACTGCACTTAAGAAAGTAAGCTACATGAAGAAAACACTTCCTTTTTACCTTTGCATTCTCCACTCTGTGTCAGTGTGAAGCCAGAATTACAGTGACACCTAAAGCTGCCTTCTGTATTGAAACATGTGCCATTCCTACACAGACCAGGTCTTACCTCGCATTCATCAATGTCTAGATAGAAAAGTGAACTTTTATTATTTCATACAACATAGGGGACCTAATATTAAGGTATAATATTCACATTTCACAAACTAGATAGGTTAACTCCTAACAGTCATATAAAACACACACAATGTTTAAAAAAAATTATTTTATCACAGTTAAACTTGTATTAAAAAATATATTTTGAAGGTATTGTCAGTCAGATAAATTGAGATGCAGTAGCTAGAAGGAACCTGAAACTGAAGGTTTGGAGGTTATATAACCAATCAACAAGAACTTACCAATACAAACTTCTTTGTTTGGAGAAAGTCTGAAGCCTGTGTTACATGTACAGCTATAGCTACCCTCTAAATTCCTGCAACGGCCATTACTACAGGCCCCTGGAAGCTCTTCACATTCATTAATATCTGCAAACATTAATGAGAACTTGAAAATTCATATAAAAGTATAGTTCTATGTTTTTAGGTATCTTAATATTTTTATAAAAGACTAATTAACATTATTTTCAAAGCTGTGCACAGAATGAGTGAAAAGAAATGTGTTTCATTTAAGCTTCTATGTAAAGACTAATCTATTAGAGTAATGGCCATTTGACATAAATAGATAATCAAAAGAAATAGAATGGAAATCTAGTAGAAATAAAATGTACCTGAACATCTCCTTCCATCAGGACGAAGTCTATATCCATCAGGACATCCACACTTATAACTGCCAGGTGTGTTGGTACATTGTGAGTTGCCAATACAAGGATTTATCTCACGTGCACATTCATTGTCATCTATATTTAAAAAATAATCAGACCTACGCATATGAGAAAATTTCTAAAACTCCTTTTTAAAAATGGTATTGATGAAATTGAACTAATTTACACCTATAGTCTGCAAATATTGCATTTAAGGGGATATAACTCATGATATAAAACAGAAACCATTCTTGGTTGTCCTAAAATGACTAGTTTGAAAATGTAAACAAAATGACTTAAATGATCGTACCTTCACAGATTTGTCGTATGCCATCATAAACATAGCCCCTATTACATTCACAACGGAAACTGTATGGTAAATCAATGCACCTGCCATTTTGGCAGAGGTCAGGGTTCACTTCACATTCATTGATATCTGATGCAAAAATACAAAAGCAGTGAATACATTTAACTGTGAAAATGTTTTTTTTTTCAATTAAAAATTTCTTTTGAATATAAGCGAACATTTTGATAACTTAGAAAATAACAAGAAAATGCCTCACCAGTAATTTTAATTGGACCCTCCTCACAAAGTGACTTGAATTCAGCTGTGAATAGGCAGATTCAAAATAATAAATACACAAAAATAATGTGTAAATTCATATTCATAGTGCTAATAAGAACCTTAATAAATAGTCACTAAAACAATCAACATTAATACATATAATATTACGCACATGCAAAATCTTGGGCAGATTTATAAAAAGCAAAGCATGGTATTATAAAATTAGTTCTAAGAGAGCTATTACTTGATCCCTTAGCAGGACAGGCAGAACATGGTTCTCCCCAGGCAGCTCCAAACAAACAGCAACACTGAAACCTTGTCTGAAGAGCAGACAATGGGCTGGTACAGACAATGTCTCTAAAACGCCCTGTTGCATTTCTGTATTCTCTGTAGCAATTTGCTTTCCTCATATCTGTAACAGAATACCTTTTTCATATACAAAATAATCTAAATTTATTACACATTAGTAGTTGAAATCATCAAAATCTGTAACACATGATTATTTGAGATCATCTAAATCTAGTACACATAAGTAGTTGAGATCTATTACATTTAAGTAAAAGAAGTACAAGCTTAAAATAGTGTTACACCAGCCAGATAGTCAAGTGAATATAGAGCAATAAAAGAAAAAAACAACAACACTTGAATAAAAATGTTATATGTACCCATGCAAGTTTCTCCATCTTCCATCAGGATGTAGCCATCTGGACAAACACACTGGAAGCTTCCCTCAGTGTTGACACAACGACCTACACCACATCTGTTTGAAGATTCTAGACATTCATTGATGTCTAAAATAAAAGAAACAAGAGTACATCAACTTTTATAACATTAAAAACCTTACTTGATTTTAGGATACCTCCATCTAGGGTAAATTAAATATTTCTAATCTAGGTAAACTAATATAATCAGTCAAATTAAAACACTTGTAAACTAATATAATCAGTCAGATTAAAACACTTGTAAACTTATATAAAATAATGAGTCAGATTAAATACCCTGCAACAGCAGGTCGACTACTTACCAACACATCTCTTCCTCTGCTGGTCAAGCCTAAAGCCAGTGCGACAAGTGCACACATAAGAGCCAAATGTGTTTTGACACTCTCCTCCTTCACAAAGTCCTTCAATTTCTGTACATTCATCTATGTCTATAAGGTAGTTATAAAAAAAATCCAAAATAAGCATACTAAATTAAAAATCCATCAATTAACAAAATTTAGAATATTACAAGAGAAAACTCATAATACACTTACAATTTCAAACATTTTTATCTCACTTTTGAAGCATAAGAGCAGACAAGGTAAATAAAGCTTGAAAAATGGTTTGTTAGAAATGTTTTTACCTTCTAAGACAAGTGTGACTGAATTGGGCTTGAACCCTGGACCTCCAGGACATAGGGCAGCAGCTTCAGCTGGAGACACATTTTAAAATAATTTAAAATAAAAAAAATTCTTTGTTGCAATATTTGGAAAACTGAATCTAAAATAAAAGCAATCAATGATCTCACCTGAACCATTTTTGGGACAAGGGTCACAGAAGCCTTGTATTTCTCCCCAGCCTTTGCCTACAGTGCAGCAGCAAGTAGCCCTGGATACATCTTGAGCAATCTTGTCATTACAGATACCAGGTCGACCAGTGGAGTAGGATGGAACGTCCATGTAACAGTTGCCAACACGCTTATCTAAACAGCATCAGAAATTTTGTTTACAATCACAAATTATTTTTGCTTTTTGTAAAGTTACTATAAATAAAATCGAGTTATGGCCCTACATGTCAATATAAGTAATTGTAGGAAATGGCACATTACCTTATTACATTTTTAAAAGATAGATGAGTAAATCATTAAAAAACTTTCTAAAATTTCCCCACTGTTCAATGAATATTTCATACACACTTTTCAACCAATTATAAATGTGGTCTAAACTAAATATTTCCAGTTAAAAGTTTTAAGGGGAAACAAGCACATTTTTGTGTGCAGTTTTAAAAATTAAATTTTTTACAATCACTTTCGATACTATCACATTTTTTATAAATTAAATTCATTAGTCTGTAACATGCTATTCTTAAATAGAGTTTAGTAATTGCAAGAATTACCAAAGTTAGTAAATCAAGTAAAATAATAAATCTATATAGGCCTATTCCAACTATAAAAAAAAAAGCTGAAAATTTTTCACACCAACAATAAATTTTTGAATGACTACTTAAAGACCTTACTCTTAAAAGTAAATCAAAAGAAAGATTTTGTGGCCATTTTTTAATCTTACCTACACATCCTGTTCCAGTTGGATTACTCTCAAAGTTAGGTGGACACTGACAAATATAGCTGCCCTGTTGGTTGATGCAAATTCCATACTGGCAGTTATCTGGGTTCTCACACTCATCAATATCTAATTAAGTAAAATAATTTTATTATTAGCTACAAATAAAACACATCCTGTTGAGAAAAAGAATCTACAGACAATTAAGACCATTAGAATTTAATGCTGAAGTGATGGCAACTACAACAAGCAAGATTTTGCTAATCTATTTTTCCTATTAGTAAACTAGCTAATTCTATAAATTACATTAAGTAACATAAGAGATAAGTAAAAAGGCATCACTATTTTACAAGCAGTTGAATAAAAAACCAGCAAGTACCAGTACAGTTTCCTCCAGATGTGTCCAGTTTGTAGCCAAGGTTACAGTTACATCTGAACATACCAAATACATTTTCACACTTCCCTTGGACGCACAAGTTGGGAAATGAGGCACACTCATCAATATCTAAAAAAATTAAGTTTATTTTATAACGTAAAGAAAATCTGAACTTATTAATGTGTTTATGCATAAATTGTACCTATCATAAAAAAAATTAAATCAGCATATAGTTGATTTTTGTTTCAAAATACATTTTTTTTAAAATTGAAAATATATAGGAAATAGTTTTGATTAAAATAATTTGGCATTTAAATTAAATTACAAAACAGAGTGGTGCAAACTTCAAAGACAACTAAAGAAAGCATAACTAATTTACAATTATAAAAGAGTACTACTATTTTATATAAACGTACCAACACATGCTCTTTCATCTTCAGTGGGTGCAAGACCCATATCACATTCACATCTGTATCCTCCAGCGAAGTTGAAACATTGGCCATTTTCACAGAGACCTGGGTCCAAGATACACTCATCCACATCTGTAAATAAATGGCAGATAGAGGTAATAGTCTTTTATTGTGTTGCGAAACAAATGACAGTCGGAACTATAGAAGAAGTGTAAGATAGAAAACATATTCTATAGTCAGTTTTAGTGTAACATGGTTATCTTCTTCTATAGTCAGTAAAAGTGTAACAAAGTTAACTTCAATCGTCAGTAATATTTTATTTATGTAATGAAGTAATCTACAATTTAAAAAAAAAAGAACTCTGACCTTGACATTCCAAACCATTTCCAGTGAATCCTTCATCACAAATACACCTGAAACTTCCTGCTGTGTTAATACAGGCAGCATCCCTATGGCAACCACCATTGTCTCTGACACATTCATTAATGTCTGAGAATAACATGCTCAAATTATAAACATTTACAAGTAGACCCTTCCACTAGCTTATATAGTTTTTTGGCAACCAAACACTTAAACCTTAAAGTATAAACCCATAAGACAACTCTAAAAATAATATAATATTAATCAACACCATATAAATTACCTCTACATGTAAGCCCCTCTCTAAAAAGAACTAACATATCATATTACCACTACATGTAAGCCCACTTCTAAAAAACTGATATAATTTAAAAAATCTTGAATTACCTCTACATGTGAGCCCATCTCCAGAATAGCCAGGCTTACAGTCACACTTAAATGATCCTTGTGTGTTTATACAAAGAGCATTTTCATCACAGCCAGATGATCCAGTTTCACATTCATCATCATCTGTTACAATGAAATACAATATTGTTAACTACTTTAACTAAGTTTGATACTTGAATCCTCAATAAAATTGTTCACTAGTCCCTGAGAGAGAAAGGGCTAAGAAACATTAATATATTAGAACAAAGTTCTATCATCAATGTATTTAAAATAGCTTAGCAAAGTGCATTTGTTTATTACATAAAAGTAAATATATGTAATTTAAAAATAAATTTTGTAAAGTCTTCAGAATACAATTTTAAACCAATAGAAACTAAACCATAATTTTAAAGCTGAAATAAACTTAGCTGATGTTCATTTGAAAGGAATCCTTGTAACATACCTGTACATCCTGTTGCTCTAATCTGTGTTTTAACAGAAAATCCAATGTCACACTTGCAGACAAATGATCCATGAGTATTCTGACACCCTCCATTCTGACATAGATTCTTGTTTTGTAAACATTCATCAACATCTGAGAATAGTTTTAAAAGGAATTTTTAAAAATGCAACCAGAATGAGCAAATAATTTTGGAATATTTAGAAAATTTAGAAAGATTTAACATTCGATTGGGTAGATAAATCTGTAGATAAAAAATGTGTTCACCCAAGCATCTCTTCTGGTCAGGTGAAGCAAGAAGACCAGGTGGGCAGATACACCTGTAGGACCCAGGTAAGTTATCACAGCGGCCACCATCACAGATATTTGGCTGTTCTTTACACTCATCCACATCTTGAGAGGAAAATTTAAAAATAGTCAAACACCATTAAAAGTAATATGTTAATTTAACCAACTTACAGAAATCAAACCTGTAAGATAATCATGTCATTCAAATAAAGTTATTTAATTTTAAAAAGCACCTGACTTTTCTAAATGTCTTCTAATTGTACTATTTCAAATACATACCAACACAAGTACGTCCATCAGTGAGCAAAAGGTAACCCATGCCACAGGAACAGGTGAAACTTCCAGGCATGTTTATACAGACAGACTGGCAGGCGCCATTGTCAAATTCACATTCATTGTTATCTACAAATGTTTTTAACATAAGTAATCACAACTTAATCGTAAATATTAAAGTTGCATACAATTTACAAGATACTTTATTTTTCTTTTCATAAACTTTGATGTATATTTTTAACAAAGATTTTTAAAATTCAGCTGATAGATGTTTTAAATCTCTTTTTATTAAATTGACAAAATGCTTACCTATACACATAGATTTGAGATCATTAGGCATGTAGCCTTGATTGCAGATACACTGGTAGCCTCCCATAAAGTTTTCACAATGGCCATTTGAGCAAATGCTGCTGCTTGATGAGCATTCATCAATATCTAAAATCAAATGAGTGTCAGATAGTTTTTTCTTATGAGAACATGTATTTATAGTTCTAAAAATGTAACTCCAAAAAAAAACTTTTTTAATCTGACTGAAAGGACGCAAGTATTGTTTGAAAAAAAGATTTCTCATACAGATTGTGTTAGATCTGGTTCAGAGTAGAGTTGTAAACAAAAGCCTACCTTTACAGAGTTGTCCATCAGGTGCTAGTTCATGGCCATCTGGGCATGTACACTCATAACTTCCTTGGGTATTGACACAACTTCCACCACGGCAGAGTGATTTGTTATCCTCACATTCATCAATATCTAAAAAGAAAGATCTGAGTTGTCTAACTTGGATGCTATTATTATATTAAGGTTAGGAAAAGTTTTTTAAAATACTAGTACATAATTCATAAAAACTAAAAAAATAAAGTTATGTTAAATATTAACTTACAAATATACAGATAGTTTCCTCAATTATCAGGTTTTATAAAAGCAGATTAAAAAACAGTTGCTTACCAACACACATTTGGTTCATCATAATTCCTTTGTATCCTTCATTACACTCACAACGGAAAGTTCCTGGTTCATTTACACAGCGTCCAGGTGTGCAAATATCCACCATAGATATTCTACACTCATCAATGTCTGCAATTTTAAAAAAATATTGACAATGGATCTCATACATTGTAAAACTATTACAGAATTTTACAGAATTATGAGACCAGAAAAATGTTACAAAGCATTACCAGTGCAGTTGGTTCCAAAGCTGTCTTTAGCAAAACCTGGATAACATTCACACTCAAAGCTGCCAGGAGTGTTTTTGCAGCGGCCATTGACGCACATGCCAGGGAACATTGTACATTCATTGATGTCTAAGGAGAATATAACAGGGAACATAAAACATTCATCAATAACAAGAGAAAATAGTAAAGGAAACACAGAAAATGTGTTCATACCTAGAAAAAAAAACATAGTTTTAATATTTAAATAAAAAGAAAATAGAAAGTGATATCAAGATAAAATAAAAGATTCTCTCTGTCTCAAGGAATTTTTATCATTTACAGCTGGTATCATAATTCTTAAATTAAAATTTGACTTTTAAATTTAAGTGATGATTTGTATATGATATCCATTTGATGAAAAGGACCTTTCCATCTAATGATATGTACATTTGAAATGAGTAGGGCCTACATAGGTTTGTTGAATTTATATGAGAATTTTGTAATTTTTATTATCCGCATGCTAATAGGTAGACACTTTGTTATTCTAATGTGTAAAATAATAACCCGCGCATAAATTTAAAAGAAATACCTTTAATAATCTCTGAACCAGGTCCAGACCCAGGATCAGCCTCAGCACACAATATTTTATAGTCATCTGCAAAAACAGTAATCACATATAAGATCCAGATTTAACAGTTAAAATTATGATACAAAATTACAAGTTAAACAAATTATTGACTGAAAAAAAATAATGCTGGAAATGATATTACATTTAATAAAAGGTAACAAAATTTTTTTTTTTAATACTTTTGGCCTCTTTTATCAAAGCACCTAAAATATTAAATAGATACTCTTTACCTGTTCCAACTCTGGGACACCCAGCACAAGGGTCACCCCAAGCTTGCCCAATAGAGCAGCAGCAATCAACTTTGGTAAAACTTCCCATGAATGGCTTTGAGCAAAACATCCTTGAATAATCCTGGTAACAGTTGCTTTTCCTAAGGTCTGAAATTTTATTTTTTAAAACATGTATTTTCACAACAGAGAAATTGTAATAATTTCTTAAAAATAGAATCAACACCATGGTGGAAGTCAAGAAAATAGTAAAACTGACCAACACATCTCAATTTGCTGCTGTCCAAGGTAAGGCCTGGTGGACAAGTGCAGGTGAATGATCCTTCAGTATTGACACACTGACCACCTCCTTTGCAGATGTTAGGTATTCTCTCACATTCATTAATATCTAAAAGAAAATGTAATCAGTAACTTTATAATCGCATTCGCCTTTTTGGATTACATCAAAGACATTTTTATTCATTTTTCTGAATTGAAAATTTAGAAGAAAACTCAGATATCATTCTAAGATAAGCTTACCAACACAATTGACTCCATTTTTGAATGTAAAACCTTTAGGACAATGCAGCTCAGCTATAAAATAGAAAGTCAACAATCATATATTTAATTTCCAAAAATAAAAACTTTCCACTGAAATAGGATGTTTTGTAATGTTAATGTGTTCTGTAATGACCTAGCTGAATGAATTAGGAAATATTAGGATTAATTTTAGGTGTGAGCAGCATTTTGAAATTCTAAACTTACATTGTGTAGGACACGGAGCACATGGGCTTCCCCAAGCTTGGCCAATGGACCCACAGCATTCAGACTGTGTGAGTTGTCCAGGTAAGTTATTCTCACAGTTGCCATTTACAATATTTAGCCAGCATGTTCCTTGCCGGTTATCTGAATGAAAAAGAGGAAGGGATGTTAAAATTTACTTAAGTATGTTATAAAAGAAGCTTATAGCATATAAAAACAATATTAGAAAGCAACTTTGTAACTTAATTTAACTTTATAGCTCTGGAAAAAAAATTCAAAATTGCTGTTTTCTTACATCCAAACAAATTATAATGAAAAAATATGTTTAGTTACTTACCAATGCAAATCCGCTCAGTAGTATCAAGTATTTTCCCAGGTGCACACCTGCATTTAAAGCTGCCTTGTGTATTTACACAGTCTCCACCAATACACTGATTTTTTTCCTCACACTCATTTAAATCTGTCAATGAGCATTTTATACAATACTAGAATACCCGTCATCCGTTGGATAACTGTGGGTTTCGGGGGTCATCCATCAAAAAACATCACGTCTGTCACTCAGAGGCATAGCGACCCTTCCCGGCGCCTGGGGACAAACTTTTCGATTTGAACCCCCCCCCCCCCCCCGCAAGATTTCGATTTGCAACCCCCCCCCTCAAATTTTTGATGTGCACCCCCCCCCCCCCACTCAAACTTTCGATTTGAACCCCCCTCAACCTTTCAATTTATTTTTCCAAACCATTTTGGCGCCCCAACATATGTCCCCCCCCCGACCCCCCCCCCCCCTCCTCGCTACGCTACTGCAGTGTCACTTATCGTCACAAAAAACAGACCCCACATTCAAAAATATGTTTTTTATCTTTTAAAAACACCGAAAACACCGATTTTGGACTATCCTTTCATATACTGACGTCACAGGTGACCTACTCAACTCTACTTCACCTGCCCAGTGTCCCGCCAAGTCTCAGACAACATGTTTTTATTGTTTAAAAAACGATTCCAGCCGAGCATGTCTCTGACCACACTATCCTTTCATATGCTTAGGACAAAGAAACAGATGAACTCTACTTCACCTGCCCTGTATCCTTCCAAGTTCAGATAGGCAATTTTATCATTCACATCTAAAACAAAAAAATTGAAAAAAAAAATATCATTGACATATTGGTCTAGAACCTGTGCCACCCGCATGAGAGCCGGCTACACTACCAACTTAGCTATTTACTCGTGACGTCACAAGTGAATTTTTATACTATACTTTGAGTCTCCTTATGCAACTTGATTTACGCGCATAGATCTAGATCTAAGTCTAGTAGTAGTAACTTTCAAATTAAATTTTATCTTAAATTAGCCAAACAAAGATTTATATAAAATAATTAAGGCCTGAAATAGATTCTAGATGTATTAAGGTTCGAAATAGATTCTAGATGTAGAATTTACATTAAGTCTAGATCTAGAATTTACATTGAGTCTAGTGACCTAGATCTAGGCTAGATTCATAACTTTCCTTCGACAGCTGATCTTTAGATCTAGAGAAATTTATTGTAAAACTAAATGAAAAAAGACAGTTTAAAATTGATATAAGTGTTGGAACGTAATAAATACAGCAAACGGACGTATTGCTAAAGTTAAAGCCGACAGAAAATTAGCTTTAGAACGCGTTAAACATTGGAATGGGAACACAATCTTCTTCGATAGACCACCATTATCGATGTAAAAAAATAAACACATCATGTGACGTCACTGTTTCCGTCGAGTCTAGTGGCTTTTCAAATCTTTTTAAAAAATTGTGGTTAATATACGTATGAATAAATCAATAAATTAATTAACGTCTTTAAATAAATTTGTGATTAACAGTCTGTCTGCATTAAAAAATTATTCTCTACCTACATACTATTTTACAGCTCTCCAGATAGAGTAGAACATATCACAATACTCGATCAGCCAAACAAAAAAACAAACAAAAAAATAAATATTCAAACATGTAAACAAACTTGACTTTTAGTAGTATATAGATTTATTTTGAAATGTTTTTACACTATTGCTTAAATATGACTAGTCTGTTGGCTTAAAATGCTAGCTAATTTTCACATGAATATTAGTTTAAAACCTCTCATTTTCTTTTTGCGTACTTATAATTTAGAAAAGCGAAATAAATAAAACAGACTTCTTACCTTCACACATTCTTGTTCTAGCACTAAATTGAAATCCACTTGGACAAATACACTGGTAGCTACCAGGTGTGTTTCTACACTGACCACCATCACACAACATTGGGTTCATTTCACATTCATTGATGTCTGATTAGAAAATAATTACATGCGGTATACTATTTTATTATGCATGTGTATGAATGATTTATTTCCCTAAGTTAAGTTGATGAAATTCAGTCATACCTATACATCTAAGTCCAGAAGAATCAATTCTAAAGCCAGCATTACATATACACCTGTAGCCCAATTGAAGATTCTCACATACTCCATGGGTGCAAATATCTGGATGTTGCTGGCATTCATTAATATCTAGAGTTAAGAAGATGAAATGAATCAATGACAGCAGCAATGATTTTATGTTATGCAAAAAGATTATAATAGAATGAATTCCAAGGTAAAAGATCAATGAAAGTCACCTTTTCCATCATGGTCTTTTCCTGGTCCATTGGGACAGAGTTGAATGTACTGAGGGTCTTCCATGCTAGGGCAAGGCTCACAGGCCTGGCCCCAGGCATATTTTTGACCAGGAGCGGTGAGACTGCAGCAACACCCAGACTTGGATACTATTCGAGAGAGAGGGTTTATGCACCTTCCCTCTTGAACATCAGGATAGCACAGACCTCGTCTCACATCTGAAATATTTACAGGTAAAAATATCATCAATTTATTCAAATAATGTGTTGATAATTTATTTTCAGACTAAATGTAACCTACTTATGGTAATATATTATCCAAAACTATAAATCCAAGTAGAAATAGTAGTTATTAATAAAATAAATTATAAATAATTTTTTTATTTAGCTGGTAAAGGGTCATCTTAAAAGGTGAGCATCAGCACAGCAAGTTGGCAAGGTATTTCCTTCTGATACCCCCTGTTCGCACATATAAAAGGAAGAAGTATGATCTTCACTCCCCCCCCCCCCCCCCCCCATCATACCAAAAATGATGTCACAAAATTAAACATCATGATAAATAATAACTTTATGAAAATAAATATTTTTTGTAATTTGCTACATCATCATAGAAGTCTGTTCGCTCTCCCCCCCCCCCCCCCCCCCCCCCCAAGGTATGTGACATCATGTATAAAAATGATTCTCTAAATTAAATAATTATTTCTTACCCAGACATGTTCTGCCATCAGGTCCCAACACAAATCCTTGCGGGCAGTCACATCGGAAACTTCCTTGGTTGTTGATACAAGTTCCATGGCTGCACATGTTAGGGTTTACCTCGCATTCATTAATATCTATATTTAGAAATAAATAATGAAATAAATTATGCTGCACCAGTGAAAACCAGACACTCTAAAACAGACACAGATACTTAATACAAAATTACTTCATCTACCAAAAGTCTAATACTGCTTAAATTGTTACAAGTTTTTACTTATGTTAAAAGTGTGCCATAATTAAACTAGTACTAGTTAGTAAATTAAATCCTACACATACAGTGGATATTAAAACAGTAAATATTAAGCACTGCTAAAATTATATATTCCAGTTCTATATTGATGTGACAAAGGGCAACAACTGAGCTAGATGACCAACTATTACAAAAGATGTCCATTCTTTAAATACATACCTAAACAAACCTGATTATTGGGTCCAAGCTGGAATCCAGGATTACAAATACATTTGTAGCTTCCCATCATGTTATGACATCTGCCATTTGTACACATGCCCGTTCTCTTACATTCATCATAATCTAAAATTGTATGTTATATTTTAATGTACATTCATCATAATCTAAATGTTTATATGTTATATTTTAATACATAGTTAAAATCAGTGACCATTGTCAATAAACAATAAATACTTATTCAAGGAAACTTGTGTTTCTTTTTTATTAAAAAAAAAAATCGTTTAAACTTTATACAAAATAACGAAAAATTATTTTAAAACAAAATTATTATTTTTTTATCGGTATACCTAAACAAAATGCCCCATCTGGTGATAACTGAAAGCCTTCATCACACTCGCAACGATAACTGCCATCTGTATTGACACATTGACCATTATAACATAGTCTGCCATTTTCGGTGCATTCATTTATATCTGAAATTACAATGACACATTTATGTTTAACTTGTTAACTGGTACTATAAGAATACAAAACTGTAAGCCAATACACTAATAATAAAAAAGTCACTTTGTTGATAATTTCTAGACATTACAGATAGAGATAAAAGTATAGATATATTTCTAAATAAAAAAAAAACACAACTTTTTACACTTCTCAAAAATCATTTAACAATCATGTTCTTACCAAAACAAATCTGTTGATTGGCTGATTGTCTAAAACCTGGATTACAAACACATTTATAGGATCCATCCATGTTTACACACCGGCCATTGGGGCACATCTGAGCAGTTTCACATTCATTCATATCTATAATGAACCCATTTATATTTGCATTAATGAAAGAAAACATATTTGAAATAAACAGTATACATCAACAAATTACACTCAGCTTCAGCTGAATTTAATATTACTAATTTCTATAAAGCAAATCATTCTGTATGGTTGCAAAAGATGTAATTTTTTTTTGATGGAATAGAGTAAAAATTGCAACCAAACTTTAAAAAATCAATATCTTACCTGTACAGTATGTACCATCTTTAGATAAAGCAAATCCAGGATTACATTTGCATTCAAAGCCTCCTTTTGTATTGACACATTGTCCATTCCGACAGACTCCAGGCTGGCTACATTCATCAATATCTGTGGAATATAAGTAAAATGTCAAAATGATTTTAAAACATTTATCAAAAAATCATACGCTTAATTAATTAAAATTTAATGTGGTACAGTAAATTTTTAACAACTACAGTTGAAACAAAAACTGCAATTCAACCAACAAAAAATAAAAAAACAGATAAAATTTAACTAAAGCATTTTCTTGTAAGTAATCCATTATAATTATATCTCTATAGATCTGGATCTAATATTTAATTTAACCTGAAATACTTTTAATTTTTTGCTAAAATTTAAACTATAAATTACATAAAGATTTCTAGTTAATTAAACTTAAGTTACATTTTCTAATTATAATATTATTGAAAGAATTATTGATATCTTACCAACACAATGGCCTTGAGAGTCATTTTTAAAACCAGGATTGCATTCACATCTAAATGTGTCTTCCAAGCTGATGCATTTTCCATTTTCACACAGGTTATCCAGATTTCGACAATAGTCATATTTAAATTCATTTGTGGCATCACAGAGACGAGAGTGAGCATCTGTTGGAATTATTAAATATAAAAAAATGTAGGTAATGTAACAAATGAATTTAATAATGAGTGAGTGGGTTTCAAATAATTCATTCAGATCAAATGGCAAGTTAGTAAAATTTTAGCTAAAGCTTCTGTAACTAACTAGACTATACTTATGTAATTTGTTGCATGACTAAAACCACACTAAAAAGTGAGCTAATAATTATTATTTTCAAGTTCAAGCACTAAGAGCCCCCCCCCCCCCCCCCCCCCCCTTCATACTACAGTAGGCCTATTGACTGAGACAATACTATTTTTTTACTTCTGCATCTAAAACAAGATCTAGATTCTAGATCTAAATAGTCGAAAGTCAAAATACTACTAGATCTAGACTCTAGTAGGTAGATTAGATTCTAGAAGCTAGATCTAGATCTTAAGATCTAGATTTAGAATCTAGAGTAGAGGTGGCAGCTACAAAAAAAAAGTTTGCATCTGCGCAAAGCAACAGAACAGCTAACTAATGTAATGACGGTTTTACTGAAATGAACTAGTCTAGGGGAAATATCGTGAAAATTATAGATCTAAATGGCAAATTTCTTGGCCTAAGGTTTCAAGCTCAAGTAAGAATGGGAGAGCAACGCTCTGCTACTGACGAATAATGCGTAAGATTTATCATTAAAAGTACAGTCCCTTTTTTCGTCTGCCTAAAGTTTGGGTAAGGAAACTCTTTTATCTAGAAGTCCCTTTTGTTCACTGTGCCAGTCCTTAGTCATTTATCTCCATTATATGCCTAATTGTTTTATTTGATGTGAAGTGCTGTATCAGAGTTTCATTTAACAAAAAGAGCTGTTTCATTCTATGTGCATTTCTTAGAAGTTGCAACCTACTTTTATCTTTGTGCAAAAAAAAAAAAACCCTTTTGATGCTCGGGAGTAGCCATTTTGTTTACTTTTTTTTAATAAGTACATCAAGTTTCAATAGGCTTTGAAAAATTAAATTTGGTAGGCCAATATGCAGTGTTTCTTTCAGGCATCTCTTGTGTGGGGGGTGTCCTCTCTGCCCCCACCCCCCGAAGAAAGTCTACCCCAAAAGAAATGGAATTTATATAGATAACATACTTTTTACATACTTTGATTACTTTGAACAGTGTCCGCCCCCCCCCCCCCCCGAAGAAAAAAGTCTGGAAGAAAAACTGCCAATATGTTGCCATAGCAATGAATTTAATTGAAAGTCAATAAAAAAAATAATACTAATAGGCTAAACCAAACATGCCATTTAGAGCGCACATCTCAGTAATATAGTACAAGAGTGTCGGTTAGCTCCCCATTGACCCCCTTTAGGAATTAATAAACTTCTTATAAGTTAGATTATGAGTTTAAAAAAAATAATGAAATTAACACAGTTGAAAACTAACTACACACAGTAGCGTAGCGAGTGGGGGCGGGGGGACATATGTCCCCGGGCGCCGACCTTAGGGGGCGCCAAAATGGGTTGTAAAATTAAATTAAAAGGTTGAGGGGGGTGAAAATCGAAATCTCGAGGGGGGGGGGGGGTGCAAATCGAACGTTTGAGGGGGGGGGTGCAAATCAAAATCTTGAGTGGGGGGTGCAAATCGAAAAGTTTGTCCCCGGGCGCCGGGAAGGGTCGCTACGCCTCTGACTACACAATCAATTAGTTTTTGTAAATATGTCGTTCTCTGTTGTTTTTTTTAAATAAAAAATAATTATTTAAAATATATAATCGAATATCATGTTTATATCCCCGTCGTGAATATCAGTGACCTCCTGTAAAAATGTCTGCTGGCACTCCGGGCAGCTCTCTTCTTACGCTCTACTCTAGCTTATATTTCAAATAGTTATACCAGACACATCTTCACAGAACAAATGGTAAACAAAAGCACCACATTACAAGTTAGGAATAGACCACCAAAGTTTTAACGAGCAATCTCAACTAAATATGATACACTAATTTAGACAGGGCTAATTGGTTTCTGGAATAATTACGTTTTTATATCAAAATGGCTAATATAAAGAATGGCATCCTCATACTCTACTTGTCGCTTTTAAAGCTAGTTATATCTCTCTCACTCACACATATACACACACATATATATACACACACACATACACACACACACACACACACACACACACACACACACACACATATATATATATATATATATATATATATATATATATATATATATATATATATATATATATATATATATATATATATATATATATGAAGAGAGAGAGAGAGAGAGAGAGTGCGAGTGAATGTGCGTGTATGTGTGGTAATTGTGTTGGTGTTCAGTTGTAGGTGTTGAATTCGGTAAACAAGGCGTTCTAGCGTTCTAGCGAAATAGTGCATTAAGTTTATGTTCTGTACAAATATTTAAATACACTTTAAAAATAACTTGCGAATTCCCGCTTGTCTAGTACACACAATACAGCAGCACATCTGTCTCCGATTACTGGCGTTAGTTTCTGTAGCCTCTCATGCTAGACGTTGCTCAATATACAGTTACTGGAAATGCCAGGGGAATATCCACGGGACGAAAAAGAGGAGGTGGTGGACGGGGGGAGAGAGGAGGGTGTACTTCCCAACATGTCATTGTTTATTTCTTGATACATACAGACTCTTTTGATGTCTACATGATTTTTTTTTCTTTTTGAAAACTGTTCGCCAGTGCACCAACATCTTGCATGCGGAGAGAGCAGAAGTGATGGAGTAATTCAAAGAGTAGCCTCCCCTTGGCGGAAAACTAAGTCCACATTTTGTTAACGGTGACTGTCAAACGCCCGGAATTTTCCTCTTCAGAAGATTTTCGGTTAGGTCTTCCGAATGAAAGCGATAACGTCGACGTCGGTGTAAATAACGTAAAGTGGTTGTCACTGTTTAACCTCAAGTGTCTAGTGGTGCTAAAAATAGTTTTGCATTGTTTGTGAATGCTACCTATGATAATGCTGCTGAGAGTATGAGCGCATTACGTTATGTAACATTTCGCTACGGTCTACAACAGATGTTTTATTTTAAACGGGGTTATTTGTGGCTTTTTCCATAGGTCTATTTCTATTTTAGTACGTTCTAATGTGTAATCTCATCAAGCAAGAAACAGCTTGTTCAATTAATACACACAGCGACGCGTAAATCCATTGAAATATAAATTGTTTGTATTATTACCTAAAAAAGGAGGGTGGGAATTTTTTTAGGAGTAAGCGTGGAGGAGTAACACTTTAGGGGATTTCAACTGTTTGGTGAATTCCTATGTTACTGTGTTCGGCTGTAGAAAAACCGAGTTTGGTGATGACTTGAGACGTATAAAAAATGAGTTTGGTGATGACTTGAGACGTATAAAAAATGAGTTTGGTGATGACTTGAGACGAATAAAAAAATGAGTTTGATGATGACTTGAGACGTATAAAAATGAGTTTGGTGATGACTTGAGACGACTAAAAAAATGAGTTTGTTGATGACTTGAGACGTATAAAAAACGAGTTTATTGATGACTTAAGACGTATAAAAACCGAATTTGTTGCCGGGTTAACAAACAGCGAATGTTTAATGGCGAATGTGCATTGAAAGCTTTTGTCCCTAAGCATCTCTGTTTTAAAACCCCCACAAACTTATGTTTGAAAATATTTTAATACTAGGATCTTTTCGTTAAATTGTGGGTTTCAATGCAAAACACATTTTGGCGAGATAAACTGTGAGTGATCTCCCCTAAACTTTCTCGAATACTCTTATATAATACTAAGGGCGATGGCAACTCGGGATATAGACAATATTTTAAACCATTTTTAATTACTTAAACTTTTTAAAATAGAATAGAATCTCATAGAAAAAAAAATTGCACACCAAGTGAACGCCAAATAAAATGTGTATAATAGTGCGGGATATTATTAGTACTTTATAAATTCACGTGTTTTTTTGAGAAATCGGAAATAGCGTAAATTACTACTTCCGGTCAACGGAAATCACTCAAAATTTGAAAGAAGGCAGAGAATTATATCTTTTACTTGTATGTGAAATTTCATTTATCTATCTGAAAAAGTCCTCAAGTTATAAACTTTTGAAAAATTCAAAGTAGAAAAATGTCCACTTCCGGTCATCGGAAATCGCTGAAAAGTTGATAAGGATCTATAAATTTGATATTATACTTATATCATCAACCTACCTGTAACGATACTCAAGTTATCGTGTTTACAGCACACACAGACATACGGACAAGATTTTGTTTATACGACTCAGGGAAGTAAAACGTCAAGATTTGCAAAAGCAAAAATCTCGAATTTTTTTTTGCACGATTACAATATTTTTTTCTATACTTCGTATACCAGAAAGTAAAAAAGTTAGAATGTAAATTTTTCATAAGCAAAACAAGTTAATAAAAAGTCTAGTGACAATTTAAGCGCAATTTCCTTATGTTATCCATAACAATTTTAAATCGAGATAAATCATATATTCAGCAAATAATAGTCTAAAAATAGATAGTGATCAAGTTTGTTTTTAAACTAGCTCCTCCTCCTTCGCTTGCGGCTCGCGGAGTTCGCTGCTAAGCCAGCCAAGTCACATGATTTACCCTCGTCCTCCTTCGCCTTCCACTGCCGATTTTGCTATACAGTACTGTAATGTATTATGTATAATGTAATTTTAAATTTTTTTTTGTGACCGAACGAAAGGATATTTTTGAAAACTTTCTTCGGCAATATTGTTTTAAATTATGGCAGGAATCGATTGGTAAATGTTTCAAGTCGCTAAGTGGTCTGGTTGCCGAGATATGGGCAAAAAAACTGCATTTTTTCGAGGTTTTTTGGCTTTTCCGGGAAATCCAGGAAGGAATTCCGGGAATTTTTTTGGCCCACAATCATCCTCGGAACTTGCTTAACATATTTGCTTTTAGAACTAGTCCTCGATATTGCTTCGTTGAGGAGGAGATACGACTTAAAGCTGCGGACATCCATACATCCATCCTTGACGAGTTAATCAACGCAATTCTCCAGAATGGAAATTGCGCTAAAAAAATGTAACCAAAAAACAAAAAAATCCCAATGATCCAATGTCCTTTTGAAAGGTAGAAATAATTCGTAGTTAGAGCCCATATAAAAAATCCACCTGCCCAGCCAAAGCAGATGCACATACACCAACACATGTACAAGTGCGCGCTTGCATGTGAAGATCCACATACACCTGCATAAGCAGATGCACACCTGCATAAGCAGATGCACATGCACCATTTTAAAAATTTACAATAGAGTTTCATAACTAAAACCATTGCGCACCCAATGAACGTGATGACGCGTCTATAATAGTGCGGAATAGGTGATTAAAAATAATAATTTTCTAACAATAATTTCCTCGTACACATCCGCATAATTTGCAATCACATTCATTATATCTTATCAGAGGCGTAGCGAGGGGGGGGGGGGGGGGGGGGGCGGGGGGGATGCGGACCGCACCTGGTGATACCATTTAGGGGGGTGACACCAAGGCAAAAATTAGAAAATTAGAAAAATATATAGAGAAAAATGATAATTCCACTTAATTTAGTGATTAATTCGAGTGGTAAGAAGACTTTAAAGAGCCAATTTGATAAATCCCGACAAGGGTGGAGAAGGGGGTGCAAATCGAAAGTTTAAGGGGGGGGGGCGCAAACAGAAAGTTTGAGGGGTATGGTGCAAAGCGAAAATTGAAAGTTTGTCCCCGGGCGCGCCGGGAAGGGTCGCTACGCATCTGGGGGTGACACCATTAAGTGCCGCACCGGGTGACACCCGAACTCGCTACGTCACTGGGTCTTATAGCCTTTAAATACGAAGAAATCAATTTAGTTTTTTTCTAGCCATGTCTGCTGAATTGATGGCGTGAATGCCCATCGACCACAAATGGAAAGTTCTTAAACACGGCTTTTGATTATACTGTGTTTTATATTCAGGTTATCAGGCGACATGGGGTGCACATCTAAGCTACAAATACAGGTAGAAATGTCATACGGTAGCTTGCGAAGACCGTGGTACCAGCTGAGCTAAAGGTGCACATAAGACAAGCCAAAAATTCGATTTGGAAGCACATATGAACAAGTCTACACACTGAATCGAGCTAGGTAAGTACTCACAACAATGTAACAGTGTGTAATCTCCAAATAGGAGGTTTAGGATAAAACCGCACGAGCAAAAGCCACGTGGCACACTGGGGGTATGAATACACAAGTACCGTTAGTAAATAAAAGGCTCAACGCCAAATCGTGGCGCAAATAAACAGGCCGACATGCCGAGACAGTGGCCGATGAATAAGCGCTAGGCGACGTGACGGAACATCTGTTATTTATATACTCGATGAAATGGAGTACGGATAAATAAAGCTTTCTAAATAGACATTGGCCGGTACAAAGCACCTTATCTTTGGTACTTTGGTCTCATAGGTCTATGCACGAACCAGTAAAGATTCAGTGTAAAAATCATACACCTGCATAAGCAGATGCACATATACCTGCGTAAGCAGATGCACATGCACCAACACATGTACAAGCGCGCGCTTGCATGTGAAGATGCACATACACCTGCGTAAGCAGATGCACATGCACCAACACATGTACAAGCGCGCGCTTGCATGTGAAGATGCACATACACCTGCATAAGCAGATGCACATGCACCAACACATGTACAAGCGCGCGCTTGCATGTGAAGATGCACATGCACCTGCATTAGCAGATGCACATGCACCAACACATGTACAAGCGCGCGCTTGCATGTGAAGATGCACATACACCTGCACAAGCAGGGTAAAGTTAAAGAAACCTTGCACGCATAGATACACTGATTCACTGATGAATCTGTGAAATTCAATAGCCGCGCCTGAAGGTTTTTTTCGGGGATTTCGTTGGCGCTCAAAACATTTATCAATTGTGCGCGGGCGTTAAAGAAAGCAATACCAGAAGTTCAAATTAGCTAAAATAAACCGGGAGTGATCTCTCCTAAACTTTCTCGGATATTCTCATATAACACTCCGGCTATGGCAACTCGGCATATAGACAATATTTTAAACCATTTTTAATTACTTAAACTTTTTAAAATAGAATAGAATCTCGTAGAAAAAAAAATGCACACCAAGTGAACGCCAAATAAAATGTGCATAATAGTGCGAGATATCATTAGTACTTTATAAATTCACATGCGTTTTTTTAGAAATCGGAAATAGCGTAAATTACTACTTCAGTGAACGGAAATCACTCAACATTTGAAAGAAGGCAGAAAAGTATATCTTTTACTTGTATGTGAAATTTCATTTATCTATCTGAAAAAGTACTCAAGTTATAGGCTTTTGAAAAATTCAAAGTAGAAAATTTCCACTTCCGGTTATCAGAAATCGCCGAAACGTTGAAACGGATCTACAAATTTGATATAATACTTATAAATGAAATTTCATCAACCTAGCTGTAACGGTACTCAAGTTATCGTGTTTACATACACACATCCACACATACGGACAGAATAGCAAAGTCCAGTTTTTCCGACTCGATTACGCGTAAAACGCCGAAATTTTAATAAATCTGGATTTAGAATTTTTGCCCGATTAAAATAAGTCCCCCATACTCCGTTTATGATGAAGTACTGAGAAGTAAAAAGGTGGAAACTGTCGAAATTTCATGTGATTTGTGTGCACAGTTACAATACTGTCTCTATACTCTATATACGAGAAAGTAAAAATGTTTTACGTCGAAAGAAAAAAGAAAAGTATTAAGAAAAAAAATTTCTTGCAATAATTAAAATGTGAGATTGTTGGTGGGTTAGGGTAAAATGTTGTATGGATGTGGGTTAGGGTAAAATGTTTTGTGACTGTTGGTGGGTTAGGGTAAAATGTTTTGTGACTGTTGGTTAGGGTAAAATGTTTTGTGACTGTTGGTGGGTTAGGGTAAAATGTTGTATTACTGTTGGTTAGGGTACAATGTTTTATGACTGTTGGTTAGGGTAAAATGTTGTATTACTGTTGGTTAGGGTAAAATGTTGTATTACTGTTGGTTAGGGTAAAGTGTTTTGTGACTGTTGGTTAGGGTAAAATGTTTTGTGACTGTTGGTGGGTTAGGGTAAAATGTTGTATTACTGTTGGTTAGGGTAAAATGTTTTGTGACTGTTGGTTAGGGTAAAATGTTTTGTGACTGTTGGTGGGTTAGGGTAAAATGTATGGTTGTGGGTTAGGGTAAAATGTTGTATGGCTGTTGGTGGGTTAGGGTAAAATGTATGGTTGTGGGTTAGGGTAAAATGTTGTATGGCTGTTGGTGGGTTAGGGTAAAATGTTGTTTGGCTGTTGGTGGGTTAGGGTATAATGTATGGTTGTGGGTTAGGGTAAAATGTTGTTTGGCTGTTGGTGGGTTAGGGTAAAATGTTGTTTGGCTGTTGGTGGGTTAGGGTAAAATGTTGTATGGCTGTTGGTGGGTTAGGGTAAAATGTTGTATGGCTGTTGGTGGGTTAGGGTAAAATGTTGTTTGGCTGTTGGTGGGTTAGGGTAAAATGTTGTTTGGCTGTTGGTGGGTTAGGGTATAATGTATGGTTGTGGGTTAGGGTAAAATGTTGTTTGGCTGTTGGTGGGTTAGGGTAAAATGTTGTTTGGCTGTTGGTGGGTTAGGGTAAAATGTTGTTTGGCTGTTGGTGGGTTAGGGTAAAATGTTGTATTACTGTTATTTTAGATGAGTTCAAAGAAAAAAATTTAAGAAATTAAACAGTGGCTAAAGTAAACACCTATAGGTTATTGTTTAATTCTTAAAATAATGGATGCTGTTTTTACTCGGGCCAATAAAAAAGTTATTATATAATTTTTTGCACATTCTTCTTTTTTTTTAAAAAACTGTAACAGAATATAGATCTAGTTGAATATATATTAACATTTACTGTCATTTTCATGCTCCAACTTCTATAAGAACCTAACCATTCCCCCACCTCCCATACTTACACACCGTATCTCGGCATCACCCATGATTGCATCTGATCTAGTCTTGTACTTACCAGTGCCGACTGTAGGGCACGGCTGACACGTCTGTCCGCTGAGGCTCCATCCCTTTCCCATGTCAACGGAACAGCAGCAGTCTCGAAGTGACATCCGTTCAGCGATGCGCCCTTGGCAGTTACGTCCAGAGACGCGTGTGAAACAAAACCCTTGCTGAGATGCTGAAACGGCAAAAAGAAAAGTTTACAAAAACATAATTAAAATTAATGCGAATGCTTACACATGAGAACATTTGCTTCCTGTTAACAGGCGGTCGTTTAGTGGAATGAATGAGTGAGGTTAAGTTGTAAACTTAAAGGCATGCTGAGAGTTGGGGGCAACTTTAAAAAAAATACGATAAACTGAAGAAAAATAATTTTTAATTGTTAGGTAATGAGAAATACTGGTCGCGTGATAAAGATGCTTTAAATTCAGACACCTTGTGCAAAACTAGAAAAATAGTGTGGCTAGAAATAGAACAAGTTTTAAAATTGTATGTTGAAAAATGAAACTATAGTTATTCTTCACATTCGTCTCTAGTTTATACACAATGTCTATGTCCAAATACAGTCTGTTTACTGTTTAGTAAAAAAAACCCACTTAAATACGTAGCAAAATAAAAGCTATAATTTAATGTAGCCTCATTAAAAAAATCATATTTTTAACAACCATAATCATATGTTTAGCCTTGGTAAAGTAAATCAGACTGTGCTTATGGTAAATGAAGTAGAGTACATCTGTTTCTTTATCCTTAGTATAAGGCCAGGACTAACCCAACCTAAACTCAGCTGATTCAAGGGTTTCCTACTGGATGGAAGCCGTGAACTGAACTCGAGACTTTCTGGTTTTAACCATATGTTCAATCACTCGACCACGTTGGCTTCTGTATGCTGATAAATAATTGATCATAAAGATGAGCTTAGCATTTTAAATATATTGCATGAAGTAGGCCTATTGCAGTCAACTTTAAATGACAGATGAAAAAAGCCTGACGTACCGATACACTTGGATTTGTCAGGTGTCGGCTCATATCCCGTGTCACACCGACAGAAGTAGCTCCCCTCTGTATTGATACACTGACCATTCTTGCAGATCCCAGGATTCGCTTCACACTCGTTTATGTCTGGGCAGGAATTTAAAAAAAATGTGTATCTAGCAGTTTGAAAATTGGGTTTACTACAAACATTCCATTTTATTTTCTTTCAGGTAATATTCGTCAACAAAGGTACTTTTAATTTTTAATGTATAATTTCATATTCTATTTTGGGTTATGTGTACATACTACTGAACACATATTATATTACATATTTGACAATACAATACCCTTTATAATGTCATATAACACAATGGAATACGAACACTACACCCTCTGTGTTCAATAACATAGGCTAAGCGAACTTTTAAGTTGTTTTTTTTTTTAAATTGATTGCAAGTTGAAATTTTTAACCATAAACGAAAAAAAAGTTTATAATTAAAAAAAAAACAAAAACAAAAAAAACAAAAAAAAAAAACAAAACAATATTACTATAGTTAGGGCTCTGTACTTACTAATTGTGCCACCTATATTCTTTAAGGGGTTGGGGAGGGAATGAGGATTTTCTTTTACTAATCGGCATTAGATGTAATTTATAAATAAAACTAATGGAAAATCCTATTGCATTTCTTATAGCATAAACCAATCTGTCCATAGACGATAGCGTTTTCTTAACACCCGTCAAATTATCCCCTCCGGTTCCCCACCGTTGTCTGTAGCGAATTCCTGACAAAAGTGATAAGTAATAGCTCAAGTCTTTAGTGTGTGTGGGTCCGGTTTAAAGAAATTTGTCACCGCAATGCGCGGTAATTAGCTGTGACAAACATGTGTCAAGCCAGGTAATTAATACTTTAATGGCCAAACTAAAAACACTTATCTTACTTTGTTCTTTTGTAAGAGGAGGACAATTTTTTTACGCTGGCATTCGACACTGACACAGTTACAGCCAGACAGATTAATTTCAACGTATTTTTTTTCTCTCAGTGGAAATGCATTTTAAAACGTTGTATATTTGCTGAAGTTTATTTAAATATTTACTTAGTTGGACGAAAATTATAGTTTAGTGTTCTTATATACATTGTTAATAATTTTAAATTTCCTATCTTTAATCCCGAAAAGTAGGTTATTTATATATATCAGGGGTCTCCAAACTACGGCCCGCGGGCCGGATGCGGCCCGCGATGTCCTCTCATCCGGCCCGCGGAGATCTTTTTGTCCACGGAAAAACAGTTTGTTGTCGATGGCTGAGGAACTTTGCCCAGAAAAATCAAAGACATGCCTGGAAGAAACTGGCACCCGAACTGAAATTTGATAGTTAACGCGGCCCTCGGACTGAAAAGTTTGGAGACCCCTGATATATATATATATATATATATATATATATATATATATATACGTGGATCTAAGTAAGCCATGCTTATACAAGACCAATCCTTTATTGATAGGGAAAAATTCGGCGTCTTAGGATTGCAAAAGAACCAACTTTATGGACGTCGTATTTAAAAAGGAATACACAATAGAGTAGCACTAACAGTCTAAAAATTATTGAGTTCAGTGGTTTATACACGGTAAAATTTTTTATTTAACCTTAACAATTAAGTGGCGTTATTACAAAAAAAAAAAAAAAAAAAAAAACCGCAAGAGTTCAGCATTAAAATAATATGAGTTGACCAAACTTTTTGTGTCATCTTCTTAGTGTTACGAACAAATATTCTGAACTACATACTTAGATCAATCTAGAAAATTGTAATAGATAAATCCACGTTTTCCTTAATAAATAATGATAAAAGTAATCTACCTAGTGTTGTCTAAAATCTACATTGAAGAAATAGGACATCAAGAGACGAAGACCTAATAACCTTCAGATTTACCCTTGCTTTCTGTCACAAGGTTTTGTTTTTAAGGCATACGTTGGCCATTCAGTATTTTACACTATTAGATTACATGAACCACCACGAATACATTCTTCGGACGACATCGACGTGGTGTATTCACCGGGCAACGTCTGCTCCCATTCAAATGTCCCCGTTGTAAGATAATCAAACAAAAATACGTTACAAATGTTTGCAGACATAGTCGGGGGGAAAAAGTGGATTAAGATAACGAATTTTCTTTACCTTCGCAAACATTAGTGATGGGATTTTGCGTTTGTCCTTCTCGACATTGGCATCTGTAGGAGCCGAGCGTGTTGACACACTCGCCCCCGACACACAGCCCGGGTATTGCCTGACACTCGTTCACATCTACAGGGGACAGGAATACAGCTGTTACATTCCGAGTCAAGAGTCGAGGGCAAATAGTCGTTTTGAGTGTCGTTAAGTGGACCAGTTCACACGAGAGATTAGCTTAAGGAATGTTGGATGAGTCGACACATGGATTAGTTTCATGTAAAGAATGGGCAGTTTTTTGGTAATACGATATTGACATTACAGATATGAATACACGTATCTTTAGCCGTAGATGTTTTTAGTGTGAATATTCATTTACAAATGACACAAATGACTCTCAAATGCTTAGGTTTTAAAATAATGTTCTAATTTAAGAGGGGCGCTAGTAAAACCGCCAGAAAGACAAATAGTGGCGTATCGAGTTATTTATCCTGACAGAATGGCTATTAGAGTCAGGGATATATATAATCAAGGGCTAGTGTCAGGAATATGGTCAGGATTAGATTTAGTGTCAGAGCTTAGGTCAGTGTAAGAATTATGATAGCGGTATAGTCAAAGTACATTCCAGACAACGTCATGCATATTTTTTTTTATTAATGCCTACTTTAGCTATTTTATAATTTAAAAACAGATGAAAGAAAAGCGTGACCTTGACACGTGTTTGTAGAGGGGTTGGGGATGAATCCTCTCCTGCAGGGGTGAGGGACGCTGGGACACTGCTCACACGGCTTCCCCCAGGCGGCGCCAATGGTGGAGCAGCACAACGTCTTGGTGCACACGACCCCAGTCAGCTGACCCCGGCAGATTCCATTGCTGACCTGGGTAAAGCAGGGTCCTGTCCTGAAATCTGGAGACGACATAGTCAGCATCAGGGGATTAACATAAATTGAAGAAATGAAAGTTTCCGGTCAGTCAATGCCATACAGAACAGAAAAAGAAGAAAAGCAATTTAAAAAAAAAAAAACTTAAATTAGCCATTGAATCATGCCACAAAGGAAAGGCAAAAGTATCTGGCCAGTTATTGATGTCATTAAAGAAAGGCAAAAGTATCTGGCCAATTAGGCATACCATAAATAAAGACATAAGTATCTGGCCAATGAGGCATGCCATTAAAAAAAGTATCTAGCCAGTGATTCATGTCATTAAGACACAAGTGTCTGCTACCTTACCTTGTTCACAATTCTGCCCCGTATAGCCGTACGGGCAGGCACACCTATCTTTCCCTATACACCGGCCCCCATTTAAACAGCCACCTTTGCACTGATCTGTGGAATTTGTGCACACAAATGTCACATTAGGATGAAAGTTTTATGTGTCAAATGTTTAAGCTCAATTAAACCACGCCCCCTTGTTTACTGTAATCACGTGATAACACGACACAGACTGGACTGGACATTTACGGCCCTCCTGTTCACGAATTAACGACTTTGTTATCTACACGCAAACAATTTAAACCTATTTATCACTCTATTAGCGCCATCGTAGGGAAAAGTTGGGTCCATTTTTCACGACTGTATCTGGCTCCACTCACGTAATGGAATCGGATAGTCTGCAATTAATTAAACCCAGACTGACATCGACCATTGTTGTACAGGCTGGCACTACACCCCCCCCCTCCCCCGCATCCAGACGATTGGACCACACAGAAAACGTTACCTAATTTTTGTGTAAGTTCTTATACACACGTTTAGAACAGCCTTTCTAACAGAGCCTGTTATAAATGTCTTGTAATATTGCAGTGGCGTAGCTAGGATATTTGGAGCCAGGCGAGGACCTGTCCCTAATGCCCCCAAAATATGCTGATGAATATATTGACCTTAACCCCAAACTATTGCTTAATGTCCAGTTCAGACTGTAACAACGCATTACTCTCGCTGTTATGACATATCTTCAAAGGGTAGAAGTCCAGTTTATTTACTTTGGCATCTGTGTATATCTTCTGATCTAAATACTTTGATCTATATATTCTCAAATCTTCTGATTAGTAACAGCCATTCAGTTAATGAACATCTGCCAGTCAATGTGTTTTCAAGCCAGCATTAGACTTAATAAACTGACATGATATTAGCTACATGACAGGTCGACTCGTAAGATTCAGATGTTAAGGTGTCATATGGGACTAGTACCTATGTGCATGGATAGTTGGATTAAACAGATTACATCTAACAAGGATGCCTGTACCAAAGTTAAACCGACGTACTCCGTGACATCACATGGCAATGCCCCTACCCTAATTAAGGTTTTCATTGTAAAACTTTAAGAAGTTTATGTTCCTTAATTTCCCTCATGGCCTTAAGTTTGAACCCAATCGTCCACTTACCGTCAGATTCACACTGGGCCGATGGTCGCCGGGATCCTGGACACAGGCATTGGTTGGGGCGTATACACTGTCCGCTCCCACAACCAGCGATACAAATAGCTGCAAGTACAAGCAGTTTAATTATGACATCTATAAGTAGAAATCAGCAATACATATAGCTTAAATAATGAAGTTAAGACGTCTTTAAGTAGAAATCAGCAATACATATAGCTGAATATAGCTGACACACTCGAAGTTGAGACATTTATAAGTAGAAATCAGCAAAAAAAAAATAGCTGAAATACACGAAATTAAGACAATTATAAGTTTAAAACAGCCTTAGAAGAGAAGGAAGACATTTTGATATAAAATTTAACATGTCACATTTAATTAGTCTTATATAGTATGAAAACTAATGTAAAAAAATGCAAACTTTCAGTATTATACCATGTAGTTGACTAAACTTTATGATGGCGAATAAAGGAGATTATTACCTAATAATAATTCATGTCATTTACATAGCATCTACACATTATCCTGACTTTAACCGTAGCCGGTAAATTTTCCACTTATGTGTAGTGCTGGCCCATCGGATTGCTCTATAAAGCAAGTCTATTACCTACAGTTTGTTGCATAAACAAAATAAACAGACTTTATTTGTGTCTCGTAGAGCGCTTGTTCCTGCGTGTTTATTTGTGGTTCATGAACGGCACCTTCTCCCCGTTCGGTGCACGTCTCTGTTGATTGTTCACACGGTGGAGTCTAGCATTCAGGGGAAATAACTCCTGAGCTCAGAACTGACACCATAGATTTCTCTATTCAGCATGAGTTAGGATGGGAACAATTAATTACAGTGTATCCTAATGGTACTAGTAACGTCTATTTTCTCCTTTATTTCGAGTTTAAAATTGTTTTTAATTAAAAGTGCTACTATCCTTACATTCGTATTAATTGTTTTATATCTAAATCTAACCTAACTAGTTAGCAAGAAAATCTATCGTGTAAGTTTTGCAACAATATTTTTTAAACGGAATCATCATTTTAAACAATTATCATACTTTTCAAACGAAACTTCTCCCCCCCCCCCCCCCCCCCAAAAATGCAACCACAATCTAAATAGTTCCCCCAAAATAAACGTAACGAATAAATACAAATATCCGAACATGTAGGGCGCCTGTACATTGTCTTGTCAGATCTGATACTTCAGCAGTTATCTGGGACATTTCCACCCCCCCCCCCCACCTGCATCATCCGCCACGTCCAGGTACCTGTCCAAAACATATTTATGCCAGAAAGAATGACTCCAGCTACTCTGGCGGTCTTTCAGTTTCTGGTGTTTTAGCAGACGACGCTGTACGTTACAGGCGTCATGCAGTCAGATATATAGGCGTCATACAAGTAGACACGGAGGCGTCTAACAGACGCATCCTGACGCTCATGAATGACAGCCAGCTATCATCTTATCCAACTCGGGTATGACTTGAAAATCGTTTAATTCAATCTTCCGAATTACGAAAGTAAAATTGTTGATTTTTCACATTGCTTTCTGTTTTAGTAGAACGTTTTCCTTCTTGGATTTCAAAATCAGTTCACAATACAAGCATGATAAACAGAGGATAGTGGTGCGACACTCTCCACTAAACGGACAGTCTCGCTGTGTTTTAACTAGCGGTCATCAAATCAAAATACATAACTTGTTTCATGAGGTATTGTTGTGTGGATCAAAACAGAGGATAAACATTGACAAGATGTTTTCATGACTCTTGATCTAACCAGATTTTTTTCTCCGGGGAGGTGGGCACTTGAAATTTTCGGAGGGGGTGGACAACAATTTCCGAGGGGGGGGGGGGGGGCGGACACTGTCAAAAGTATATACTTTCTATATAACCCCCCCCCCCCCCTCGAAGAGATGCCTGGAAGAAACTCTGGATCTGAAGTTAATATCTCTGTTACTGTTATACAAATACTTCACGGAAAGATTACACCACACCCCCTGAGCCAAACCCTAGCAGACCTGGGCTTAAGAAACTTACGAATGACACAGTGGGTTCCAGTGGGCGGCCTGCTCCATCCTGTACAGCACTGTTTCCTGTACCTGGGACCACACACGTTAGGCCTGAAATTAGATCGGTGTCAAATTGTAAAACAGCTGAGTCAGCTGAATCAACCAATTTTAAAAATAATTTACAATAAATGTATCTATTCATCTGCATGCAAAATCATTGAATCTTCCTGAATCCTATTGAACCACGAGATGCTGAAAATGGCAAAGTAGTAGTACCACACTGTCATACAAACAATAAGGACACCAAATGTCCCACATCATACATATTACTCCAGTTTCATACATATACTACAATGGCATTTTAGCAGAACGTTAAGTTTCTAAACAAGAAGACTATTTATTTTGGCAACAAACTTTTGAATGCACTCTGAATATCTGGCGCAAGGTTTACAAACATTAAAAAAAAACTTTCGTTTTCTACGTCGGTGTACGCAGAAAACCGGAAAACATGAAGATGATTCAAGTACTTTAAACGCTACAAGTAGGTTTCCCGTATATTTTACTTTTTCTGTCGTGCGTTTGTAAACAACTTTAATAGAACTGTTTTACGGGTGTCTCATCATTTCAAATGACACAAAGACTACACCAAAGAGACGGACAAAGATAAAATATAACTTACGCACGGCTTATTTCAACGCAATGGTAGGCTATATGTATACAAACCTGGCTATTCTCAACCTTGACCTAATGCAACTAACAAAACACAACATGATATTTTCGGGGGGGGGGGGGGGGGGCGGACTCTGGTAAAAGTTTGTTTTCTATATAAATTCCATTTTGTTCGCGGGTGGGGGCCGGTAGACTTGCCTGGAAGATATGCCTGTTAGAAACTCTGATTCCACTTACTGAAGAAAAAATCTTGACCGGTCTGTATATTGGTCCCTCTACACATGTAATTACTATAATCATTTCAGATTGTGCAGCAAAACCACCAAAACAACATAAACTTAAGTGTAAGCCTAACATTAAACCGTTACCAAAAATCTGTATGAGTAAACACCGTTGTTAAAAAGACGTACGTTCTATACAAAAACCAAGTTCTATATATAAACTAAGTTCTATAGATAAACGAAGTTTTATAGATAAACGAAGTTCTATAGATACACGAAGTTCTATAGATAAACGAAGTTCTATAGATACACGAAGTTTTATAGATAAACGAAGTTTTATAGATAAACGAAGTTCTATAGATAAACGAAGTTCTATAGATAAACGAAGTTTTATAGATAAACGAAGTTCTATAGATAAAGTTAAACAGATAAGCAAAGTTCTATAGATAAACGAGTTTTATAGATAAACAAAGTTCTATAGATAAAGTTCTATAGATAAGCGAAGTTCTATACATAAACGAAGTTGTATTGCACACCACTTTATGTTTAAGTATTCCAACCATCGCATCGACACCAATCCATGCGTCATACTTTGTTTTCATCATCGCCCTAACATCATCAACCCACAAGTCGTTAACCTTGACCTTGTAGATGCCAACAAACACCACGCCCACGCCCCAGGCCTGAGGGCGGGGGGGGGGGGGGGGAGCGCGAGTGCATCAGTTTCAATTTTCTAACTCTTCCACAAGTGTCACTAAATTTAACTCCCCCACAGCTAAAATTAGACAGGTGCGCGGGGGAAGGTGCGAGTGGGGAAAATAAAATAACGTTGCTCTTGTCAGGTACTCACGCTCAAGGTGTAGACCGTTATGATTTATAGTCGTGTCTGCGAGTTCATGCTTGTGCGCGCGTCAGTCGGGCGGGCTGTGTTAAAAGCAAATAAAAATGTCTCTTTTCGTTCGTTAAAATCAGCATTTTCCTGCGACTTTTGCCGCCTTGAGCAAAGATTTAAATAGAATGCTACCCTTTTAAACTAGTTTCCTAAATTTGCCTCTATATTCTCCTCATTAAATTATGATTTCCTCACATTAAACTAGTTTCCTAAATGTTTCTCTATACTTGTCTCTTTAAATAATGATTTCCTCACATTAAGCGAGTTTCCTAAATTTGCCTGTATACTTTCCTCTTTAAATAATGATTTTCTCGCATTAAGTTATTTTTCCTAAATTTGCCTTTTTCAAAATTTTTATTGGTCTTAAAAACATTTTTGGCCTTGCTTGAAGCCAGTTTGTTTTTCTGAGAATGTTCGTGCAACTTTTGCAAGGGATGGTTAAAATATTTTAACCTATTTAAATCTCCTATAATTAAAGTTTTGGAGGGCAGCCTGATCTGACATATTCACAGAGCCTACCCCCCCCCCCCCGCCCCCTCCTAGTAATAAAGATTGAACATTCAATGCATTTTTCTCTCATTATTTACACAGGAAGGAAATGTTCCTCCATGACATGCTCCTCTACTGTAAACTTTTACAGCGTGATAGCGGCTCTTTAAAACATGCTCTGTATCCTAACTGCCTGTGGTCAAAAGCAATATGTTGTAAAAAAAAAGGTTTTGTTTTCTGTAATTGCATAAATATTTAGAATTCGCGATTAAGCAAGGTTTTGTTTTTGTAATTCCATGTAATTTTTTTTAGAAAGATTTTGTTTTTTTTTAAACTGCATGTCTTGTAAGAGCAAGGTTTTTTTTGCTTTTGTAATTGCATGTATTGTTAGAGAAAGATTTTGTTTTTGTAGTTGCAGGTATCTTAAGAGCAAGTTTAAGAAAAAAATGATTGTATCTTAAGAGAATTGTTTTATTTTTATAATTGCATTTATTTCAAGAGCAAAGTTTTGTTTTTGTAATTGCATTTATTTTAAGAGCAAAGTTTTTGTAATTACATGTATTTTAAGAGAAAGGTTTTGTTTTTATAATTGCGATGATTTGCAATTGTATGCATTTTAAGATCAAGATTTTGTAATTACATGTATGTTAGGAGCAAGATTTTGTTATTACATGTATTTTAGGAGCAAGATTTTGTAATTACATGTATTTTAGTAGCAAGATTTTGTAATTACATGTATTTTAGGAGCAAGATTTTGTAATTACATGTATTTTAGTAGCAAATTTTTTTAATTACATGTATTTTAGGAGCAAGATTTTGTAATTACATGTATGTTAGGAGCAAGATTTTGTAATTACATGTATTTTAGGAGCAACATTTTGTAATTACATATATTTTAGGAGCAAGATTTTGCAATTACATGTATTTTAGGAACAAGATTTTGCAATTACATGTATGTTAGGAGCAAGATTTTGTAATAACATATATTTTAGGAGCAAGATTTTGTAATTACATGTATGTTAGGAGCAAGATTTTGTAATTACATGTATTTTAGGAGCAAGATTTTGTAATTACATGTATTTTAGGAGCAAGATTTTGTAATTACATGTATTTTAGTAGTAAATTTTTTTAATTACATGTATTTTAGGAGCAAGATTTTGTAATTACATGTATTTTAGGAGCAAGATTTTGTAATTACTTGTATTTTAGGAGCAAGATTTTTTAATTACATGTATTTTAGGAGCAAGATTTTGTAATTACATGTATTTTAGGAGCAAGATTTTGTAATTACTTGTATTTTAGGAGCAAGATTTTTTAATTACATGTATTTTAGGAGCAAGATTTTGTAATTAAGAGTGAGCAGTGTAACCATGCGAGGTGCACCCTGACATCAGCCAGCACCTGGTGCGTGAGAAAGAAGCGCGTGCATGCAAGAGGCCTGCCCGTGCGTTTATTTGTTGCACTGAAACAACCGGCATTTGTTTAGACACGCCCCAACTGCCACGCTAGATTTTTATAAAAAAATAAATTTAAAACTTCAGTTAATCACGGTTAATTGCTAAATTACCTGCAGTGCAGGCTAGGTTTTAACTGACAGTGACAGTGACTGTAACAGACCGTTGCTTCATTTTAAAATCACGACAAACACCCCGCAGGACATTTTGTTGTTCATCTCAGTCAGTTGTTCCCTTGCTACAGCTATTTGTCCGAGTCTAATAATTTTTGTTAGTGTTGATATAGCTATTTGTCCGGGTCTTGTATTGGTTACTTATGTGACTTTGCCAAAGAGGTTCGCCAATGTTAACGACCTTGTTTTAAAAATTTGGCTCATTTGTGGTTTTAAAATATACGAAAAAAGGATGTATAGTATAAGAATAGCATGTCATCCCCACACTTTAGTATTTAGCACTGAATCATGGGTGTAAGATAAAAAATGCAAACACTTTAATACCATTTCCATGTGATGATTATTTGTTAAAATAACGTTCTCTTGAGACAAGCCAGTGTTAATGTTTTGATATAACCTTGAAAGAATTTCAGTCCTAGTACAAGACACTCGTAGACTTGAGACGACAATCCGAATTGCAAGATATCTCCAGGTGTTTTTACAGCCATCAGCGCTAAATGGCATCAGAATTCGGTGAAACCCAATTCGTGTTTTTTTTTCAGTCTAACTTAAAAAAAAAAATAAAGAAAAAAAACCAACATCCTCACCTGCTTAATAAGCGTAATTTTACCTGAAGTCAGTTAATTTAGTTATTTATAAAAAAAAAGTGAACGTATGTTGTCATGTTTAATTACGTTTAAACATGTGAAATTAACATATCTAATTACGGTTTAGGACCGGGTTTAAAATTTAATATCACCTTACGTACCCCACCCACCCCACGCACCTGACTTACACCCACACACCTGTTGAAATTATCTACATTTCTGCACACCTGACAGGCCGCTCGTATGTCCCCACCTGCCCCATTAGCTGGCCTGGTAGGGAAGAACATGTTGTAGACATCCCATAATATGCTGTTACCTGCCTAATATTACCTCATTTCACCGGGTTAATATTACCTAATGTAACCTACGTGTGGTGTAATGTCGCAGCCCAGGTTTAGCAACTGTGTAGACACTAATCTGTGCGCGCTGTCGTATGCCGTTTCACAATCGTGTTAAATCGCTGACGTTTCCGGTTTTGACTTAACGTTTTTCTGCGGTTTTTTAAATACACTATTTACATTAGTTCTTCTAACGAATAAAAAATATATAAAAAAGGGGCAGATTAGTTTGAACCCTGGGGTGCAAGCAAATAAGCAGCAAATTTAAATTTGCTATCGTTCATATGA